CAATCTTAAAGTTACACTGACACTTTTTGTATGATCAGTTGAAAACCTCACTCATCCCTGGATTTTGATGGGTTTATGGGAAATCATGAAATCTAATTTAGAAAGCTCTTCTATAATTAAACAAGTCATTGTCAATGACACGTCCCCGTTCCGTTCATATTTGAGTGACATATACATTCAAAGCAGATCATGACCGAAATCTCAGACACTTTCAGTGGTCTGATCCGAAATGCACCTGCATATGTACAACACATTGTACTAAATCTGAACAAAATCCGTCCATGCATAACTGAGATCCGGGTCCGGAATGGTGAAAATGTGCGATTTTGATGCATTTTCGTTAATCGGATCATGAAAAAAATGCATGTGCATATGTCCCATATAATGTGTGATATATGAGTGAAGTTTGAACTTAATCGGTCTATGCATGTTCAAGATACAGGTGATCACGGACGCACACAGGGCAAAACATAAGTCCCCGTTTTCGGACTACGTCCGAACGGGGACTAATAAAGTGTCCTTTAGTGATTACTTGTATGTTTGATTTGGTGATTACATACTATAATAACATTCACTGCAGGCTAGATTCAGAATTTGTTGCCATGGCAACTGATCATTATTCATGTATTTGAGAATTGCTTCACATTAAAATAAAATTCATGACAGTTACCACATGGCAATGCACACTGTTTGAGGTAATATGGCAAAAATAAAATAAAGGATGCTGACAGGCTATTTTTTTTCCAGTTATTCCCCAAGAAAATCCACTTATTTGCAGGAATATTGTAAATGTTGCATCTTAAATTGTATGGTGACATTACAACTAGCTTTATTAGCTCCACTGTCCCCCAGATTACTGATTATTTGCGGGCATCAAATTTACATTTCCCATTTTTTCTTAAAAAACCTTAGGTGGTTTTCCTTCAGATTTTTTTTATTTTGTGAAAATGCTTAGTTCAATTAGGTAATTTCTTTCAGATTTGGTCATTTTATGACGATAAATTCAATACAAACTATATCAGCCAAGAGGCTGCTAGTGAATATTGCCTCATGTACTGTTTTTTTTTTTTTTTCACCCAGGGCCTCAAGGAAAAAATAAAGGCTCATTTCACCAAAAAGGAAAGTCTCGGAAACCAAACCAAAGTAAAGGTCCTGGAGGTAAAAGAAAGAAAGTGAGAAGTGAAATGAAAAGTAAAGACCAAATTTTGAAAAACAGAAAAACAGATGCCAAGAAAAATTTTCTTCGTAAAACAAGAGAGAAGAAAGCAATGATGAGGAGTAGGGGGAGAGGAAAACCTAGATAGCAACTTTCTTTCCAGATCTGATATGCTTTATATTTTGTGGACGTCTTTAATAATGCTCATTTCATTAGTTTTTCGTTACTGGAACAGACAAGTAAATACTAATGATATAGACAATACATATTCATCCTGTTTTTTCCGCAGCAGTGCAGATTTATTTTCAGTTGTCTGTCAGTCAATACATTTTCAACATATCCTTACAAACTACTAATTGCTTTGATATTTTGTGATGATGCTCTTTCATCAGTTATTTTTAGGTCCACTCGTATTATTTGCACGCATGAACATTTGCTTCAACAATGGAGAATATACAGTTAGTAATTAGTGGTAGAAACCTGTGTCTTACCAGGGTTTATGAAAGACTACACGTACTTTGCAATCAACACGTTTTAATTAAAGATTAATCTAATAAATATAACTTAACACTCCATCCATATATTGTCTCCCACATTCACAGCAATATTTATCGTATTTGGTGGTTTGAGCAATTTTTGTTACGCCGATGGGTATACAGTAATTAGACATTACAATAAGAGTGGATTGAATAATTACTGCCAAGAAAATATTTTTTGAAATAACACCTTGTATGCACATTTTTTAGCATGAGATTGCCAAAGTTATTGGGTCATGTATATCTTGATGAAATAAACTCAACATTGACTGAGATAATTAAATTTTCATTGCAGAGAAAATTAGTCATGCACAACCGTATGGATTATTTGTACCCCCCCCCCCCGTCTTTAAGCATACATTATAAGGATCTAGTGGATGTTGCTGTCCCTTTATTAGTGTGTATTAACCGTTTCACCAGAAATATTGAAGAAAATAGTGTAGACAAAGCATGGATGGAGTGACACAATCTGTACTCGAGATAAATTCACACATATAAGAGTAGCACAATTTAACAGCTTGGCAAGTACATGCAAGCTTTATAAAAAAAAAATGTACTTTAAAATCTGACACTTATTTAGTCCTGAAAACATCGTAATGTGTATAAGTAGAATATTTGGAGGGATGGCCCATCACAAGCTAATACTTTATTGGTTTCTCAGTCCTTGCCTGCAACCAACATGCTTTTGCTGAGACCAAACACTCAGAATGAATCTGTTTCCTTAATCACAAATAAAAAAAAAACAGAATTCATTCATTAGGCAATATATGGATATTGACCTAAAAAAAAGTTGGGGGTCACCAGCCTTTTTTTCAAGAAATTGATGGTTGTATTTTAGTGGAAAGTCGCCATTTTGACACTATTATAACACTTTTACCACAGGTTCTCATGGCAGAGATATTATGCAATATCTCAATCTAACCTGGTGACATAGGCTGAAAAAATCATATATTGTTAATGAATTATTGAAAAAATCTGGGTTTTAAAAAGTGTCAAGAAATATTAGGACGCGTTTTTCAAAAAGCATAACTGTTACACACAAAATAATGCTATTTCATTGTACCATCTTCATGATTGTACATAATAAACTAATTAACATTGTCATGCAATTTATGACAATTTTTGGCAAAAATTATGACTAGGCTTCTACCTTAAAAGTTTTTTTTAAATCCTCACAATGGGCTAAAAATAGACTTAGGATCCAGCAATGCATATTGGTATTATTACACTGTAATCGATTACATGTACATGTATAGTACTGTAAAACACTTTATTTTCGCTTGGAATGACTCAGCGAGATAAAATCCAGCGAATATACCTTATTTCCTACTAGTATATTTTAAATTCAACTAGTCAGAAATCAGTGAAAATAAATTCCATGCAAAACACACCCCAAAATTTGAATTCTAGCTAAAATAAAGTATTTTACAGTACCGGTACTGGTCAATAAATGTAATGTTATTGGTGTTCAAATGTCAGATTCATAAATAACATGTTTATACACACTACACATATCTCCCCCCTCCCCTCCAAAAAATGTTTACACATTAATTACCTGCATAACTTGATATACAAATCTGTTCACATATGAGTAACCTACCACTCAAAAAATGACAATTATTTAATGTCTGAAATAAAAACGAATGTGGAACTGAATTGTTGAGTCAGAGAATTCAATACTACTATTAAAATTACACATAGTAGCACAAGAGTTACTACCAAGACTCATTGCAGTCCATATTAGCTAACTTTAAAAAAAGTATCACATGCATCCTTTAATTTTAAAAAAGAAATATTCACTAGACTGAAAATCATCAACGTTTGTAGCAGTGAACATTTCACTCGAAGTCAAAGCAACTTTTGCAAAAATTTGTCTTCCTTGTGAATATCTTTATGATGAGCAACAAATTAGTGGTTTACAGTGCAACTTTGCAGTCATACTACAGAATTGTCTATTTTCACTTAAATAAGTAAATCCGCTTTGTGACAAATCAGAGACAATAAATAAACCTAATTTATAGTTTTCAGTGAAATAGATTCTAGCAATATCAAATAATACCCTGCTTAGTAGAGTTATGGCACACCATGACTCAAAAACATCATACATTTTCAATTTTTGTGAAAACACAATTATAATAATTTAAACTATACTAACACTAAAAAGCACAATATATCTATTATAAAAGAGAATTTTGAGTAGAGATTGTGTGATCATGTCATGATCAACTTTGGAGAATTATCGAAAAACACACAAATACAATCTACATGTAAATTGTGAATATATAAAAATTCAAAGGTAAACATAACATTATCCATAAAGCCAATTCTATAAAGCATTTTTTGAAATTTATCCCATTTGAAAAACATTGTACTCAAATGTCAGCTCTTGCCAAAAAAAATAAAATAAAATCTATTTGGCGCCAGGGGAAAAAAAATACCGTTTTCACTGGTATTTAATTTGATCATATTCATTTCAAATTCACAAATTTTCCAGTGAACAATTGTATCCACTTTCAGCAAAAAAAATAAAAAATAAAATCTAAGGAATAAATGTGTTTACACTACTAGTATTAATCAAGGAGTATGAAGAATCTTGTGCAGTTATATGATAATTTCCTTTGTGGTGCCGAAAGTCCCCATGCTTGATTATTTGTATGCAAACATTCCTAGTTTTAACACACCCATTATCAGCAATCATTCCAGTATAGCTAGAGGTAGAGTTTTCCTCGCCTTAAAGGAAAAATACATTTCTCATCTATTAGTCTTGTCGACTCACAAAAAATACCAGCTGTGTGATAACTGCTATTCAAATAACTATACAGCCAAGTGTCAAAAATGTTAGTAGTTTGTGACTATAGATACTCAAAACAGCAACTACTCTGTAAGAGGTGGTAGTTACGGTTGTGCATAGCAACGTGTCAGTTTGTTGTTTACACAAGATTTGAACACAAGCTACCATGACAGCCACTGTCCTCAAGTAGGCATGACTTGTACCAATACTAATGTAAGAAAAACAACCTTTCGAGAACATCTTCTAATGAGAGCCAGTGTTACAAAACATGTGATTGGTCAGCAAGTAGTGGTGCCACACATTCATAACACAATGCATCTGATTGGTTCATTTTTCTCCACTCTTGTTCAGTATACATACATGGACTGCGATGGCCTTTCAGTCCATGATTATGATGGTGTACCATATGTGTACAAAAGTTCAATGATGCATCAAAATCTCTTGAATATTCTTTCTTGGACATGAGATTTCGCCTTTTTTTCTTCTTCAAAACCTAGAAAAAAGCATTGTTGAAAAGTCATTTTTTTTCCCCAGCCGAAATCAAACTGTTTTTGATATGACAAGTAATTACGTTAGACACGATCTGAAATGGTAGAGAAGCTAGATTTTTGGATGTTTACTTCAAAAATGGACGCAATTCAGTCATCTTGATTCAGGTTGTCAAACGAATCAATGCACATAATATATTTCAAGATTATGAAGTATGTGTGAAGTTTGAATGTGATTAGTCCAGGCATGTTCAAGGTGCGAACACAGACACATAGAGATCAAAATATAAGAGGTGATTTCCTGTTCAACTGCGAAATCATGTGTATTGAGTGAAAGACGAATGCCGAATGTCTGCCATAAAAATTGAGCGGTTTGATTTTGACTCAAATTTTTCTTTTCATAACACAAAGTCGAAAGGCCGATCTTGGAGAAACCCTAATTTCATTGCCCATCATCAAATGTGTACAACACATTATTAAGCGTGAAAATATCTCCCAAAATACTTTTGCGTTTGTCGAATCCAACGCGATGTTTGACACCCCTACGACCTTTGTTTGTTCTGTTTTTACGCATAAGGCAGAATCTTGCAGTGAACGAAAAAAGATCTATTTCCCAACCTCTGCCTTCAGTTAGTTATGCAAATTCCATGAACTTATGAGCTGTAATGAAATGTATTTACCTGAGTAGTATTCTGTGGCATTTACAACCCAACCTTCCAAAGCTAAATAAAAAAAAATATTCATCTATGAATAAATATGTTTTTTTGGGTATTATAGAGCAAGGACTAATGCATTAGACCTCTTTACTGTCAGCTTTTAACTAGTTACAAGTAATATACATTTACATAATTTTACGAGTTAGCCACACTCCCTCTTAATTGATACAAGTAACTTACCTTTAATTTAAATCCCAACATTTCAGTCATTACTCCTGAGAATGCTGACAATACAACAACTCTAGTGATGTTATATAACACTGGATTCATGGCTAAACCTGAAATCTTGAATGGACTCTCAAGTTCCTGTAAAGATAACATAAATACATACTTCATCCAAATTGATTTCTAGACAACAGCAAGAAATATTTAGAGAAGTGACTATACTCACATTTAATAGTTTGACAGCTAACGACAAAACATGATTGGCCAGCATTAGCTCTTCTTTCTTGTGTGGTTTTTGTTCCATATGTAAATACAAGTTTATCTGAAATCAAAACAGCATACGCTATGTTTAATAAAAAAATCATTGCCCATTGAGAACCTAGATCAAATAACAAATGTATGGATGAAAACAAAACTAACAGTGTAGTATCTTTTCTTTACATGGCAAAAGTAAGTATAAAAGTCCTGAAACAATGCAATAATATATTATCTAAGCATTTTGAGAAAAAAAATACAGGCTTAAAAAAATGAATTAATATTCTTGTTCCTCAAATAATACTATATTAATATGTACTGTATTAATCTCAATGTTCCTCATAGGATAATATAACCTGAATTATATAGAAGATCCTAAAAAATAACGTCTACAACATAGTACAACAACATCTAAGCAAAATCTGGCAAGTAAAATACTAATCAATGTGTTCTCCAATTAATTTATTAAATTGTCAAAAATCAGTGAAAATAAATTCCATACAAAACATCCAAAATGTCCTTTCAGCGAAAATTAATCCCAGCTTTGACACCTTGGGTGGACCTATGTTAGATTTGATTATTTCTTGATGATATTTTCAATTCTCTATTTTTGGATGAATATTTTTGGTAAAAAATATTTTCAACTTTTTCTTGATAAGTACCAGCACGATTGCTTTGATATGTTATATTTAAGTACCTGTACCTTGGATGGACCTCTATCAGATTTGTTTATTTTGTGCAGATATCATCAATTTTCTATTTTTGGTGAATATTTTTGGTAAAAAATGATATTTTAGAGTTCTTCTTGAACACAACCAACCCGTTTGCTTTGATATTTGAAGTGTACATTATTTTTGTGAGCAATTTGTTCCTGAAATGGCTATTACAATGTTCTTGTAGGACAGCAGAGCTATTTTGACCACCAGGTCAAATATTATTTATTAACTTTACGAGTGATCACATGCAATAATGAAATGACTTACCTGCTCAGTGAGTAATGCTGATGTATTCTGATGTTTGTACTTTTTATTTATTTTTGTCCCCAATGTCATAAACCGAAGTAAGTAGACTCCTAAGATGAGGCACCATGCTACCAATTCCCAATTGTAAAGATTAGTCAGGAAAGTTCCACTGTCTCTTAGTAGCTAGAAAAACACAATGTATCACATTGGAGGTTTGTGGTCTTGTATAGTAAACGATCCATATTTGCTAACAATTTTGCATAGAGTGAGCGTTTTGTCCTCACATGTACTCCTTATGGAGTTGTGCTTCGAATAGAACAAATATGGTACTGTTAGTTTTTTTAGTGACATGAATATAGCAACTCAACACCAGAATGTAAAATGGTAAATCATACCATCTACTTATATCTTATTACAATTTGCATGTAGAAATGAAAAACTTGGTTCGTGAACATAGAATTTTATTATATTACCCTACTTTCATGCAAAGGTGATACATAATTATACCATATTTAGACTCTGACAAGCACAATGGCACAAACATTATTAACAAGTTTTCACTATATTTGCTAATACAAGTTTTAACAGGTTTGTATTAGTGCTTACAAAGATGATCTGCCGCTATACTGCCAAACAACATCATCACTCAAAATGGCATTTTGTTCAGTATCTGATGTAAATCATTGGAGTAATCTAAGACATTACCTGAACACAAAGTAGAGACACCAAGGACAGCGCTAATAAGAACGCTGATGATACAATCACATCAATTGATCGTTGTGGACCACGTCTCTATAAAACACAAATTACCGGTAGTATGTATTACTTTACATGCCCCTATGGGAAGTGTTGACAAACCTTTGATGAGACTTTTCAGAGAATTATGCGAATAACAAAACAGTATATTAATATTATAGCTGCATTGCTGGTTGCAGGATATGATCAAAATGTTTGAGAAAGTTTGTAAAAAGAGTTTTGTGAAAGATGATAAATGTAGACTCAGAGTTTACACATATAGATTGTATTTGCTTTATTAGACCTCAGTCTCCATCTATAGAATAGAATAGAATAGAATTCTTTATTAATACCGTAAAGATAATGTGACATTTCTTTTTTGGTTAACGAGTTAATAAAGTTTTTACATAGTTGAGCGGACATAAAACTATCCGTGAATAGTAAGCAATTTACAATATGTAGGAATATGGCATATGTTGTTTATTTATGCCGGTAATGTATTTCTTATGTTGTAATACTGTTCGATGTACTTTATGGTTTCTTTGATTAGTGAAGTGTTCTTATTACTCATTATTTGTATGAATTTAGTATTGTTTGTCATATCTTGGAATCCATATATACAGGATTTGGCTGTTGAATATAGAATGTCTCTGTTGTTTGCATATAAGGTGCATTCAATAGTGAAATGTTGTTCATCTTCAATTTTGAGACAGTTTTGACAAATTCTGCTTTGTAGCGGTATTTTAGGTTTTTGATGACGACCAGTTTCAATTTTCAGTTTGTGGCCACTCATTCTAAATCTTGCAAGTGTCCATATTGCTTTTCTATCATTGAGTTTTTGTAAATAGGTTTCCTGTTGGAAGTTATTTTTCAATAATTTAAAAGTCTTTAGTTTTGAATCAGTACTGTTCATGTTAGACATCCATGTATTTTTATAGTGTTCCTTACATAATTCTTGAAAGTGCTGTTTTGTTGTTTGTATGTCAACAGGTTTGTTTTTTTGTATGTTTTTTTCAAATCATGTAGTTTTGATAACCAACTGTTTTTCAACACTGTATTCTCCATCTCTTTAAGTGCATAATATGCTATGTTGTTTTCATCAATGGATTATAGGTGTTTATAGTATCTGAGAGCTTTGTATTGAATGTTACATAACATATGGAGTCAGAACGCTCTGAACTCTCTGGACCAAATCTATTCATTCTTTGCATGTGCCTAGAATTTATGTTGGATATATGCAGATGCATTGGTTTAGTGATTTGATTCAAGATGGACATGCTTTGTTATTTTCATTCAAATTTGGTAAATACATTATACTTGTTAGGATACATGTCATTTATTTTAGGATTTGAGGTCATACATTTATTTTACAATTGGAGCATAGATGAGCCAGCCATCTTGTTTTTGATCTACTACTATACCTTCAAGACTTATGGAACAATTTCATTCATATTTGGCACATACTGGTACATCATACATGCAGGAATACATGGTGTTTCATAATCAGATCAAAGATGGCCGACCAGCTGGATTAAATAAGACAACAGACTTGCAGCCATCTAGCTTAGCGTCTTGAGTGGAAGCGCACATTACACCAGAAATTGCATACACTGTATGTTGGATCATTTGGCGATTCATTTTGATGATAGACACACCTGACATTTACTGTAAGTGTACAACGTTACTAATAAAGCAAAAACTGTTTCTAATTACCTTGAGGTATGACCTGAGTGACAGCCATGTTTTAATATTTCGTACTTTATTCAATCGGAAATGAGGGATGTCTGATTTCCTGGCTTTTCTTGCTGAAGTCACATGACCAAAATATTTGGCAAGAAGAAATCTCTGAAATGAAAAAAGATTCAGTAAAAATAATGTATACAAAAGTAAGAATACTTCATCACCAGCTCTAACTCAAGATGGTTGTCGTCAGAAGATTGTACATATTAATCACAAAGGAATAAATTGACAAGTAACAGCAGTAAATTGAGTATTTTGTAGACAGTATTGAACACATTGATTGGCGATAGAGCTAATAGTTTTGTCCCAAATGAGGATAAATACATATACCATGTTTGAATACGTGTTGCATGGCATACAGTTAATTCTACAGTAGAAATAGATTCAGCTCAACATGAGCAGTGTACAATATTTTGTTATGTTTGGTGATATACACGCTATGACATGTGTACCCACCTGTCTGTATGTTCTCTCTGTAACAGCCAGAAGAAAGAAGAACATACCACTGAGTACAAATCTTAACAGAGAACTTACGATAACAATCAATTGAATCCTGCAGAAAAAATAAAAACAAAAGTTTTTATAATCCAACTCATGAGGGCAGCTACACTTTGTAATAGAAATCTGATCTGATCCATTGAAATGGACAAGTCTGAGAAAAGTCCACATATGATACACAACTACATATCAAATATCAAAGCAATCGGATCAGCTGTTTTCATTCAAGAAAAAGTTGAAAATAACACCCCACCCCCAAAATGACAACAGTCCTGGTATTTGCTAAAATTAGAGAAATTTAAGTTATCATGAAATGAAAAATCTGAGGTAGTATCAAAACCTAACAGCGTTTAAGAGGAAGGTGAAAATATATTGTTGATGCCGATGAATGGAAGTCACTAATAGTTATGTTTGACTTTGTTTGTAAAAGGTCAATATACATGAAATTTCATGTTTTACACATCATGTCAGACGACTAATTATTATTTATTAATGTTAATTCATTTATATAGATTAATATTAATAAATATCTCATGACTCTTGACTAAAAAACATTCACTCATAGGAACTTATAAAGATCTGTGGATCATTCAAAAGCAACTACGTAAGAGTATGAATTAAAACAGTTCTTGTAATCTTGGTAGAATGAACAGCAATGCAAGCACACAGACAGACAGGCAGAATAAACTGAAGGCTCACATTGTGTGTAAAGAGGAAAACCAAAAACTACTATAAAAACTCTAAATGTAGGTACCTCCAAGTTGTTCCAAACATTCCGCGAAGTAGTTCCATTAGCCATGATACAGACACCACATGAATAGTCAACTGTGACGGTTTCAGTCCATTCAATCGATGAGTTACTGGCAAGACAGCAATAAAAAAGGCAAACAGGAAACCAAAGAAAAGATAGTCCATATTGAATCTGGTATTGTAGACTTTGTTAAGTATTAGGTTGCTGATTTCCAACATGGAAAGGTCAGCCTTTTTGCATTCATTATGCTCCCATACTCGAACAGTCACTACAAAGAAAGAAAAACATCTTGTCATCACTAGAGGGCACCAGACATATATAGCTTAAAATAATTGGGAAAAACACAGCTTTTCAGTAAGTTTATCACTGTTAAATGCAGCCAACATCAATTTATGATTTTTATAATAATATTTTGCGGCTTAAAAGGTTTCACAATTCATGTAGTTATTTTGCGTGGTTACTCCGGGAGTGACAATTTTTGTTTGACCGAACATCAGAAACTTTTTGTGGTCGCTTGCACTGGAGATGGGTGATGTTTTGTTGTCGGACTAAAATCATTTACAGCATTGGAGCTCTAGCTGTAAATACAAATTGTTCATCAGAATGTATTAACATAATGTCTATAACTTGTTATTACAGTAATTTGAATTTGGGTTTGAATAAAATATTTCTTTGTATTTACATGGAGGTAAAAGAAAGTCTTTTACCTCCATGGTATTTGAAACACAATCGTGACAATGCAATTGATCAGGAAATATTGCTGGTGACTGTTTTAAAGCTCAAAGCTATTGGGTCAATCAGTTTTGGATTTGGTTAATGCAAGTTAATTTATTGAGTTGTACATAGTGAGAAAAATGTAATGTACAAGAAGATTGCCCATACAGTTTGCTACTCTGAAAAATATGAACTGCAAACAAATCAGAAAATCCTAAAATACTGTTTGGTTTACAATAAAAAGGAGTTTGGTTTATTGATAATGTGGAGCAGGAAAAGAAAAAGATGCAGAAAGGTTTTTGTTTTTAATGGTTTCTGTTTAAAAAAGATTTTACTGCAAGATATAAAAAACAAGTCATTGTCATTGTCAATGACACGTCCCCGTTCAGTTCATATTTGAGTGACATATACATTCAAAGCAGATCATGACCGAAATCTCAGACTACTTTTAGTGGTCTGATCCGAAATGCACCTGCATATGTACAACACATTGTACTAAATCTGAACAAAATCCGTCCATGCATAACTGAGATCCGGGTTCGGAATGGTGAAAATGTGCGATTTTGATGCATTTTCGGCCTTAAAATGGCCGCTATTTGGCTATCGTTAATCGGATCATGAAAAAAATGCATGTGCATATGTTCCATATAATGTGTGATGTACAAGTGAAGTTTGAACTTAATCAGGATACAGGTGATCACGAACACACAGAGGCATGGACGCACACAGGGCAAACCATAAGTCCCTGTTTTCGGACTATGTCCGAACAGGGACTAACAAGCAGCCTGTTGGCTGAGATAGCTTTGCTGTTAGCATGCACATTTCAATTAAAGAACTGAAGATATCATTAGAAAATGAACAATATGTAGTACCTATATATGTAATATCAAAGCAATCAAACTTGTTGTTTTGAACAAGAAGTCGAAAACATCACTTTTTACCAAAAATGACAAAAATATGCATAGGTCAGGAAAACATTGGATGAAGAAGACATACAGCTCTCTCGCTCTCCACAAGATCTCAACGACCATTTGCATACACAGTCTACTCCACATGGGATCTTTAGACAGGAAGTCACAGTGAATTTCAGTTTACATTTATTATTATGTTGTAATTTATGAGTTGCAGACTTACTGTCAGTAGAAGCTAATAATTTCTTTTCAGTGCTTTTAATAAAGGAAACATAGTAGCCAATAAAAATGACAACACAGGGACGGGGGTATAGGCCATTGCAGTTAATTACGTTTTGCCCAGATGAATGTGACACAGGGACAGGTCGGCAAGTACCAGATGCAATAACGAGGTTGTTTGTTGTAGTTGATATCAAATATACAAATATGTACCCCTGTTAATAAAACAACTTGCAGACAACGTTGTCCCATAAGATCACAAGGTAATGTTGATTGGTAAGCAGTATTTGTTATTTGACATTCACTTGATTGTTGGCAAAAATGTAAACATAATGTCACATTATGACAACCTATATAATGTATTACCTCTATCAGTCACTGTGTATGATGAATTTATGACTATTGGAATTGGATGGCCATCTTGATCCTCTCGTACATCTTCTTCTTCAAACTCTAATTCACCATTATCATTATCAGTTTCTTCAGTAGCACTTTCTGATTCACTTTCCGATGCCACACCAACAGTCTCGGTCCAACTAGGGTCCTCTAAGTCTGAGTCTCTTTTTGGTATGAATAATGAATCCTTGTACAAAGAAACAAATAATATATTGTAATATGAGTGTGCCCTCTAACAGGACAGATTTTGTAGGAATCATGAGTCAAAATGGAACAATCCAAAATTGAGTCAGCTTGTTGACTGCTGGAAAGGTTGGTCTTCACAAAAAAAAAATTGCATGTGACTGTCAGCTAGACTTGAGCACAAACAAAAATGTTGAGACTCCTTATTTCCTTCATATTCACATTTATTTTGTGTAACACACAATTTGTCTGACAATTACTAATCCTGTAAAGCAGCAATATAACTGTCAATGTTGCTATTGTGGTGTTCAGGAAAAATATGGCGCTGACAGTATCACTGAATGAAAATAGATGACTTGGGGGTTTCCTGACCGCATATCTATCCTGAGTGTAAAAGGGACAATCAACCAATATCTCAATGGCTTACTAAATATTATATTACAAAGAAGCACAAACCCTCCTTAAATCCAATATGTTTCTTCAAGTAAGGAATCAAATATAACCTACTTACTCGTTCTGGGCATGGAGTACCAGATGGGTTTGTCTCAATGTCTGATTCTTCACTGCTATAACCAGTATGAACTTTTTGATAAGGTGGTACTCTTAATAGCTTCACATTGCCATCTTCGTTTATTTTACTAACTTCTTCATCGTCTTCTTCATCTTCCATTTCTCTTGGGATATAAGCTTTATCTGCAACAGGTTTTCCAGATTTTCCATCTTTGACACGTTTCCTTAAACCTAGAAATCAAAACGGTCAAAATATAAAAATTCATGAATAGAGGGCAGGACAATGTATTCCAAATCTTTCAGTATTGCTACAGTGTAACTCAGGAAGAATTCACATTAGTGAGTTCAAGAGACTGTACCATTCATACATATACCCCGATACTGCTGAATTTCTGAAATTCAACCAGTCCTACCCGAGTAGTTTTGTATTAACCTTTTCACCACTAGACTTTCTCACCCGAATTTGTCTGCACTTATTTTCTTATATTCTTTAATATTTTTGAAATGAACCCTAATTTTGGAGCCAACAGACAAAATTTGTGTCAACTTTCCCTCCAAAAATTTGGCTATTTTTGTCCAAATCTTCTGAAGGTAAGTGCAAACTAGCATTATTGGAACTATTTTGTTAATTTGTGATGAAAGAGGGAACTGGTGGTGAACATGTGTTAATCAGTTTGATGTTTTTA